TGCCAGTTGCTGTGCAAGTAATAAAGTTCACATTAATTTGTCATGTGAAGTAGGAATGGAACAAGTTTTACAGGAATGACAACTACCTAGTTAGGGCATGAGAAGAAGAAAGTAGGAGGCTATACTTGGAATGTGTCAAGCACATGCTATTCTAAAATGAAAGGGCCATGAACATTAAATAATTAAATTAATAGAGTCACATTTTTTAGTAATTTCATCAGACATTAATTTAAAAAATAAAATCTTTCCTTATTGTTTTTAGATGTATTCTGTTTCCACTTAAACTCTTATTTGGGGGAATATGCATAGATTTACATGTTTATATAATGCATGTTTACAAATTGGCCATTTTATATCAAGTCATATGACATCAGTAGGTTTCGAACTTGTTTGCTATCATTTTTTATAGTTAAAGTTATCTTGCAAAAAGTAACAGCTTTATTCCTAAGCAACATTTCTCAATAATATTGCAAAGAATTCCTTTATAATACCTTTTATAGGTTTAATAAAGTCTCTCTTAATATTCATTGTGGTTACTATCAAAATATCTTCTTTACAGATTCATCTTAAACATATTTAGTATATTTACTGTATATCTTTAAAATATAGGCTGTTTATTCATTTAAAATTTCAGGGCACTGGACAAAACAGTATTTACTTTTGAAAGGAAACCATTTCTATATTCAAGGTGTATTTTTCTCAATGAAAACCCAAGGCCAGTGAAAATCCTCGATGAAAGGAATATAATTTTTGGAAAGCGTATCTGTCTTTAGGGATGGCTAGGATAGTAAGACCTGTCAAAATTTTATTTGATTTTCACAAGCTCTTCTGTGAACTAGATCATATACATCCTTGGTAACACTCGTTCATGATAAACGACATCAAGTGCAAATTTTATTTGGAGCATTTAAATTTTGACACATCCACTTTATGACTAATCAATTAAAAAATTCGGCTTTGGAATTTAGTAGCAATTTAGTTGATATGAATTTAAAGTAAGCTAGCCTTCTGATGTTGCTCATTTTTCTGGCAAGTAAAGTATGTAACTGTATTTTAATGATTTCTAATCACTACCAAAACCCAGTAACTTTGTTTGTACAATTTTATTACCAATTTTATGTCCAATTTTAATACCCAGTAGCTAATATGTACTATAAACTTTACGAGAGCAGCCTGAAGCTAAATGTAGCAAATGAGAAGTCTGAAATGCTTAGTAAAGTTTCTCACCTTTTCCTACAAGTGTGTCAGCCTGAAGATGAGAAGGAACTTGAAAAGTAATTTTCTGACAAGCATTGCAAAATAATATTAGAACCTCAAAAAAGAAGGAAAAAAATCAGAAATTACATTTTATTGCAAATTTTGATGTTATAGTTTTGTCTTATTAGTTAAAATATTTTCAGCTTTGGAAGCAAATTAATCATTTAAGTCTTCAATTTTTTTATGTTCATTTTCAAAGGAACCAGCAAAACAAAGTGGCTTTAGAGACAACAGTTAGTTTGTAGCAATGAAAATGTTAGATAAACAATAATTCTTAGACTCTAAATCATATTGTATCATTGCAAGAAAATGTGTCACAAACCATTGACTTTACCTAGAGGTTAGCATCTCTAAGACATTCATAAATGTCATTCTGATTTTTTAGCATAGAGAAAGGATTGAACTCTAGAAAACAAGAATCTCATATTTGTACTAATTCTCAAATCATCGTTTCATAGTTGGTAGTATAGTTATGAAGTCTAGAATATACTTGAGACTTTTTTAAATGACATAAAGAATAATGCCTGCAAATACTCACTGTTCTCAAATCTCATTTCAGACTGACTTGGCAAAAACTTAAGTCTAAATTATCTCAAATCTACAACTCCTCTGGAAAATAAAAATATTAGACTTCATATGAGTAAATGTATGATACATTTTTCTCTAGCGACATATTTATAGACTCATGACACCCATTATCTGCCGGGTGGAAACAGAAGAGGTTAACATACATATTGAGTATGTGCACTTCTTTTCCAACTCAATCCAAATCTATTGGATATACTGTAGCAGACTATTTAAATAGCTTATAATTTTACAAATCTCTGTTAGGTAGATAATATTAAAAGCTGAAATGTAAAAAGTCACATTCATATCCAGTTTTAACTTAAATGACCACTTTTTTTTTCTTTTGAGAGGTTTTTGCTATAGGACACATGTGTTCACCAGAAAGACAGAGAGAGACAAAGAGACAGAAAGCGAGAAATGGCCCCCCAAATGGGATGGCCACACCGCAATCCCTTCTCTTCCATTCTCCTCTCGGGATCTTGGGCACGCACACACACGCGCCTGGCGTGAGTTTAAGCCACTGGGTCCGGGACTCGAACCACGGTTGACTTCATGGGAGTCCAGCGACATAGCTATTATGCCAAATGCTGGTCCCGACCACTTTTTAAAGCATGAGACATTCATATTTATTTGCCTTTAAAATTTGTTTATCTCTAATGCTAAAGGACGCACTGAATTACATAAAAAGAATTATTTGAGCTTAAGAATTACATTAGTGGTGCTCCAAATATATAGTGTAAAAAAGAGCATTTTGTAATTAGAAATATATATATATACAGAAACATATTCACATTCGAAGAGTTCATGAAAAAATGGGACTAAAGTATGAGTTCATTTTGGCGCAAAGAAAGATGAAATCCCTGAATAGTTTTTATTCATTATCTGTAAACTTTCTGAAGACCGCTGGTACATAAATACGCAGGCATGTATATGCATATACCTGTACATATATGTATACCTGTGTGTGTGTGTGCATGTGTGTGCGTGTGTGGCATTCTCACAGAATATAGTCCCACTCCTATTCTCACCCTTATTTTCTTTCTTCTTTGTCCTAGGACCCAACTTAGGTGTCTTCCCTCTGCAAGCAGACCCAACACATCGTTGCATTCATGAAATACCCTTCCATCTCCTAGCTAAATCAGTGGCCCTGTGACTTGGAGTTGGAGCCAGGCATCCTTTTGGCCAGTATGAGTGTCAGGGATGAATGACAAGGGATGTATGGATATTACAGAATACTGAAAAAGGAAAGGACCAAAAGCAAAAGAAATCTAACTAGGATCTCCTGGAAAATTTTCACCACATTATACTAATTCAAAATGGTCTCTAAATTCTCTTCTCTCGAAGTAGTTATAGGACAAGGGAACCAGCAGTTAGCGTAATGGCTATGTCGCTGGACTCCCACATAGTTGACTGCGGTTCGCGTCCCGGACCCGGTGGCTTAAAACTCACGCCGGGCGCGTGTGCGTGCGTGCCCAAGATCCCGAGAGGAGAATGGAGGAGAAGGGATTGCGGCGTGACCATCCCCCCTGAGGGGTGATTTCTCGCTTTCTGTCTCTATGTCTCTCTCTATCTGTCTGGTGAGCGCACGCGCCCTATAGCGAAAAAAATCTCTCCAAAAAAAGAAAAAAAAAAGTAGTTATAGGACAAGAAGCTGACCATCCTCCCTGCATCATATTTTATTTATATAGAGGAAATATCTTCATAAAACCAAATTCTGAAAATGCAATTTGAATCCAAAATATTGTGCTAGAATGAAAACGGAAGGAGATTCCCAGCTCAGAATGCTGGATGGAAATGTAAAACAATTCCCTTCTCTTCTCTTCTCTTCAAAAAAACATTAGCACTTCCACACAGTTACAAAGCTATTAAAAAGCGAAATGGAAGCCAACTTCATGGTATTTTTCAATGATGGCCACATCTTTCTTTATTATTTTTCCTAACTTAAATTGCTTGCTTAACCTAAGAGTTCTGCCCTTCTTTTACCCCTTTCTTGGTAAAATTAAAAATGTTCTGGATAATTTGCATCTACACCTAGAATCATTTTCCTCTTCTTACCACTCATTGGAACTAAGCATGTTAAAAATAACATGAACTTATTTAATGACTAACAGTAAAAGCAACCTCAGAAACTTCTGGGTCAATTGCCCGAGGAATGAATTCATCCCACTACTTAGAAAAACACCACAGCAACACTGAACAGGGGATTCCCATGAAAAAATTAATATTCTGGAAGTGGAAGCTCGAAACATAAGCTCAGGTTGTTGAACTATTCCCTGAATTTTTCTCAGAGCTATTTTTGTTCCCCCAGTCTATCTTCTGCCTCCAGTCCCCACCCCTACCCTCTTTCAAGCCCAAACTGGAGGGAGGAAGCGGGTAGTAACATGCTTGAATTCCCTAAGCCTTTGGTTGTTACTCACCAGGAGAGAGAAAAGGAGCTGCTTACAGAAGATGCTCCCTGGGGCAGCGGAGGCCACAGCCATCAGAAGCAGTCCCAATGGCCAGGGATGGTGACCAGACACTAGCAGCCTAGGATGCACAGGGCGGCTCAGCGAGGGCTGGCACTTCTGCAGGATAGTCTGCTGCCACCCTGGTACAGCTCAGCTTGGTTTGGAAAAGAGTCAGGAGACAAGTGAAAAAACAGCAGGACAGGAGGAGGAGCAGCAGGAGAATGGCCTCCCTCCTATTCCCTGATCAGTCCTCCTCCTTCCAATTCAATTACCTCTGAAAGGAAAGAAGCTTTCCTACAAATGGGGAGGGTGGGGTACAAAACACCCCAAAACCTAGTCACTAGCTCCTCCTTACAGCAGCTTTCAAAATTTCTCCTGCCACTTAACACATAGGCAGCAGGAGGAGGGAACACCCTCCATCCTCGGTCCTCCTCCCTTTCCCCCCGGGTTGATGATGTGAAGTCCTCCCCAGTTATTACCCACTCCCACGGCCTCCCTTCCCTCTTGGCCTTATTAACCTATCTTGCCCCCGGGTACAAACACAAACTGTGCACGAATTCCACGCAAGGCAGCGATGCCTCCTCAGCTGCCATTGGCAAATCAGGGGAAATAAACATGTGTAATCACATTCATCAGAAGCTATCTCCCCATCTAAGCATTGAGGTGTAGTCTGTCACTACAGCCTGTACCTCTGCCAACGATCTGGCATTCTGGTTTAAAGCAGCAACTTCAGGATACGTTGTGTCTTTTCCCTGCTCTGGGCTGTCCACTGAGGTTTGGTGCCAGTGATGTCACAAGGCACTTCCAGAGCAGATGGACCATACAAAAGTAACAGAATTAAGAAATAGCTGGAATGCCACGTTCTTATTGCCTTCTTTTTATTACACATGAAACCATATTTTCTACCCTTATTCTTTTTCAAGGACAAAATGATTTGTGAGACCAAGTCTCTTCAAAATCATACTATTCACCCTAATTGCTTGTACATTACACAAAAGATATCCTGGCCTAATGGAACAATAATGCCATCAAATTTAGGCTTATTAGGCACTAATGACTCTTGCAATGAGGACTTTAGCCTCATTTTTCCTTCCATAACTCAGTGAACTCAATGACATTAACTGCACTCAATACCAGGCATACAAGTTAGAGAGAAGGGGGACCGGAAGGTGATGTTGTGGTTGAAAGTTCTGGACTCCCAAATGGATATCCATGGTTCGAGTCCTGGACCTGGCAACTTACTTTCTCACTTTCTCATTTTCTCTCTCTCTTTCTCAGCCACTGGTCAAATCTCTGGTCAAATTAAAATAAATGAATAAATAAAGTTAAATAAAATAATCATTAGAAAAATAAGAGAGAAGGATAAGTAAATACTTTCAAATGTGTATGGCTTACTTTTGGGTATAGAGTGAGAATTAAAATTCGGGAACAGCAGTCAGCATAATGGCTATGTCGCTGGACTCCCATGTAGTCGACCGCAGTTCAAGTCCCGGACCCGGTGGCTTAAACTCATGCTGGGCACGTGTGCGTACATGCCCGGGATCCCGAGAGGAGAATGGAGAAGGGATTGCGGTGTGGCCATCCCCTCTGGGGGGGTGATTTCTCACTTTCTGTCTCTCTGTCTCTCTGTGTCTGTCTGGCGAGCGCACGCGCCCTATAGCAAAAACCTCTCAAAAGAAAAAATTCAGATTTACTCAGTCACTACTGTGGATCAGGAATCAAAATGGACATTTAAATGAATCCTCCCAATAACCCATTGAAGGTTCCCTTTTAGGAACTGAGGAAACCACGACAGAATAAGGAATTGTCCTTTGCCCACAAACCCACAAAAAGAAGATCTGGACATTTGAATCCAGGTCTATCTGCCACTTGAGTGTTAATATTTTCATTCCCTCTTGCAATTTTTATGACAATTCATACCAATATATTGAAGAGGAGAAGAAAATGATGATCTGGTATAAGAATTCTGGATTGCTGAACCCATAAGCCAGTTTGAGACTAATACAATATATTTAGAAGCAGTTACAACCCACAACTCTCAATAATAGATCATTATTCTAGAATATTGTGGGTTTTCTGGCTTCTTTTATGAGAGTCATCCTATGGGAAACTAAAATAGTTTTAAACTATTTAGTTTATGAATTTTTTTCAGTGAAATTATTCTTCCTGCATTTGCTATTCCTATTTGTACCTCACGTTCACCTCAAAAGTGAAGATAGGCACAGGATCTACAATGCCGAGAAAGGCTGGATGAAAGGTTTTCAGTTGATCTGACTGGGAACTATTCTTTCTTGCATGTAGAAGTAGAAATACAACTATAACTGCTTCTCTGAAATTAGATGCCAGGAAGAATTGGGAAATAAATAACCCTGGAGCAAAAACTAAAAGATAACTTTTCATATTTTATGGTCAAGGGTATATGCATCAGTAAATACATTCCATTTGGCATTAGACTTTGATTTACCAATCAGAACATGTAATGACTTTAACTGGATATTTTCATATTTGATATTTGGAAGAGAGAAACAGAAAGAATATTTGTAGATCCAAGTGTGAGTCTGTGTATGTATAAGCTAATCATCTAGATAGATAGATAGATAGAGACTCAGGTAGCTTAAAGAATCCAAAGATTCAAGTTCTTCAGCCTAGGGAAATGAGGATTTATTTTCCGGCCAATAAAGTTATCATCACTTCCTACCATAAAATGATTCTCCATTGCAATGGGGAGCTATGCAAAAACAAAAATTAAATTGGAGATAATGAAGAAATTGTCATGTATTGAACTTTGAAGAAATGCCAGGCATGACTAAGTTCAAGTAAATCCAGAATTTTTTCTATGGTTCCAGAAAATTGATTGGTTTTATACTACTTTTTTAGCCTAATTTCTACATACTCTCTTCCTTCATTCAGACTCTTTTCAAAGGAATAGAAAGCAATCTGGTACAAAAGCGAATCCCAAATCATTGGTTTGCTGCTCTGTCATCTTAAAAATATTTCTGTTATATTTGCTACTTATATTCAAAAGCTTTCTTAAAAGAAAAATGAATCACTTTATAGAAAATAAACAATTTATCATTATGATAAAATTGACTTTAAAAGGATGTCAAATGAAAACAAGATTTATCTCTTTCAGTTTCCTGCCTTCAGTTTATTAAGTAAGAGCTCTAGTTTATTTTTATTGTTATCTGTATGTTTGTTTGTTGCATTTCGTTTGTTTTAAACTAAGTCTAAATTAACAGGCTTAATTGAAAGATTGATGGCATAGTACAGTAGTTATAATCCAGACTCCCTAAGATCAGGTCCTGGCTTTACTACTTATTAGCAGCATAACCTTAGGCGAGTTACCTAACTCTCTGTGCTTCAGTCTCCTTATCTACAAAATGGGGATAATAAGAGCTGCGAATGCATAGGTTACTACAGAGATTAAATGTGATATTATGAAGAAAACTTTTTCAGAAGTATCTGGCTTAGAGCAAGCGTTGGTGTTCTATACCATGTAATTGCCCATATGTGCAATAAAAGGTTACAGACTAAACTATAAATAAAACACATGCAAAAGTATTGCAAATCCAAGGTGTCTTCTATAGAGACTATCTCGAGAAATACAAAAGATGTATTCGTTGAACACATAAGTAAGGGTCTGTGTACTGTGCTTTGTCCTCTGCTAGGAAAAGAATACCATACAGAGAGGAAAAAAAGACAGGAATATTACAACATTTTTAAAAACAGAGCTATCTTTATGTTCTCCTGTGTGGTGTAGAATGCAAATATAGCTCTTTTTAAAGCTATTTTTTCAGCTGTTTTTAATTTAGAGATAGATTAAAACAAACAAAATGCAAACATCCCCCTGGGGAGTGATTTCTCACTTTTCCTCTGTCTTCTCTCTCTCTCTCATTCTCTCTCTCTCTCTCTCTCTCTCTCTCTCTCTCTCTCAGGGACTTGCCCTATGGCAAAACATTTTTACCAACAGAAAAAGAAAAGGCCAAAAAGAGGCAGTCTAAAAAATATTAAATAGTTTATCAATTTCAAGGGAAAATAAGAGAAAATGATTAAAATCCTAGAGACTCCTATAGAGGGCTAAGGTCAAGGTTAGGGAAAAGTAAGAAAAAAGGGAAAAATGAAATACCAAAAAAAAGAAACTCCTGTAGAAGAGAAGCATTTTTTCTTACATATGTAATTGTTTCATAATCTTCTTTTTACCATAAACATATGGTCATAAATATAAGGATTTAAGTATAAAGAACCACATGGCTTTGCATTTCTTTAGGTTTTGGCCTAGAGCACATCAAGAAAATATGAATTCATTTTATGAATTTAAAGAATGTGTTTTATGGGAAATACAGTGACGAGTTTTATAAGAGATATTTATATACAGCTAACTTGTAGAAAAGGCTGGTTATGAATAAATTCATGGCCTGAAAGCAGCCATTTAGAGAGAGAACTGTTATCTCTGTCAGGTGAAACAACTGATTCTGAAAGACTAGGCTAGTGGAATTGCTATACAGAGTGATAAAGTCATAGCAAAGCACTTTACGTTAAATGCATATGACTGAAGATAACTGAAACTATAGGAATGAAAACAGTGTGTGTTGTTAGTATGGGAGAAGTGTATGAACAAAGAAAAAAGAAATATTAAGCAAAAAAAAAAAAATCTCTGCTCTTAGGAATTCGATATAATGCAATGGAAAGCCCCTTGGATTCCTTTGGACTCATAATCTTTTATCTGGGTAGAGGGTTATTTTAAAAATAGAAGTATCTCATGTGCACTGATAATTACTAGCAATGATTTTTAAAGACTACTTGCATAGAATGATGATTAATTTTTCATAAAATGACAACTTATTATTATCAAAACTGTTGGCAGACCTATGAAAAGAAATGGCAGTATACATCTCTGGGTAATTTAGGGTTCTATTCAGCACACACAGCTTACTCAAGCTGACTTAAGAGAAACAAAACAAAACAAAATTATTGAGAATAAGGGATTTCTTAGATCGTGTTATTGGAAAGTCCAGAGATATCCTAGATTGAGG